ATCCTCAGGAGAGACGTGAGTGTGTTTATGTAGACAACTCAGGTGCCTGCTCTGTCCACATCCCCTGTTTTGTGAACCCTTGCTGAAGAATTGACCCCAACTAGCCACTCGTGTTATATGCTAGCAGCCTCACTCTCGGCCACAGTTGATTGGAGAAGGACCATACACTTGATTTAAGTGAGCCAATTAGGTTCTCTCTAGAGAATCTGAACTGGATAAGAAAGGAGTCTTGGCATTTGGGGATCCTGTGAGCTGATCCAGTGCACAGAGAAAACCAGAGAGGACATACTAGACGGTTTCAGAGAGAGAGAGAATAGTCTCCTTGACTTCATATCTCTGTGCAGTGCCTCACTCTGTGCAGTGGAGTCTCTTGTGAGAACAAGCTCTGAGTCCTGCCCTTGGGTTTCAAGAGTCCTTTTACTGTCCTTCCAATAAATCCCCCATTCCACTAGAGTTAATTTGTACAGATTTCTGTTCCTTGTAAACAAGTAAACCTTGACCCAGATGGGGATCTAAGCAGAAGAAAGCACACTGGGCTAAAGATCAGAAGACCTTGATAGCTTTACACTGAGTGACTGTGTGACCTCAGGCAAAGCATTTCATCTCTCAGGTACTCAATCCATTCCTGAAATGTGGTAGTGACAATATCTAGCATAGCAGATCAACTGAGTAACATACATAGAAGCATTTTGTAGCTATATAATTACTAAGTGAATTAACTTGTCCAAGGTTGCCATGATGGTGGGAAATTCAAGCATCATAGTGGGCAGCCAATGAGAGAGCTACTAGGGAGAGATTGGGTATTGCTCAGCCAGGAGTCACTTTGTACAGCCTCCCAGGTGTGGAGCTGCCTGTGGACACTGCCTGAAGACAGGAGGAAGGGCGCAATGGCTTTTAGCATGCTTTCCCAGAAGTCACCATCTTCCAAGAGATACCAGCCTGGAGAGAGAACCCCAATCATTGCATAGGAGGCAAAGGAGTGTCAAAGGACAAAATTACAACAAATTTAAATATCTCAGTCAGATTCATTGTGACTCTAGAATCTGGCAACATGTCATTCCACAAAATAGAACAAGTATTCCAATGAGCTGAGCAGAGGAGGTTGGTTTTACAGGCAGAAAAAGCTTAAGAAAACAGAAACAAAGAAGAAAAAGCAGATTGATCATTTCAAAGTTACTTTCCTTGTAGGGTGGGGACAGGAAAACAGAACAATAGAAAAATAACTGATTATCATCAGGTTACTTGAGGCTATCCTTTTTTGGGGGGAGGGGGAGGGCACTGTTTGGTACAGATATGAAATCCTGGACCTTGGTGTTATCAGCACCACACTCTGATCTAACCAGCCGGCCCTCTTTTTGTGTAAGGATTAAAGCAGAGGGAACTTCATTATCATTCTTATTGAATATTTTAAGTGGCCTGTTTGGGAAATTGGCTGTTATCTCTCTCTCCTGATTTCTCCGAAGGTTAGACTATGGCTTGTTTTAGATTTGGTGACGTGGAACTTAGCAGGGTGACTCCTTCTTGATTTTTTAGCCTGGTCTTTTGGGGCCTAGTGTAGGAACTTAGTCCAAAACAGTGGCCTCCTATAATTATTATTAAACAGGAGCAGCTCCCTCTGGCTCCATCTCCAGCATCAGTTTCTCTAAGTCTGTGAGCTCCAAGGGTAGGGTTGGTGTCTGACTTGCAATGACCCGATCTCCAGAGGACACAAAGACGAGGCTCACAGTAAGTGCTCGAGCTGAAAGAACCTCTCCATGTTTCTCTATGTCTGTCTGCCTCTGTGAGTCTCCGTTGTCTCTATCTCTATTTTAATGTGCTGTCTCTGCCCCCTCTCTTCTCTCCTCTTTCTCTCTCTCTCTCTCCCCCTCCGTCCCTCCCTCCCTCCCTGTCTCTCTCCTCTTGTCTCTCTCTGTCCTCTGCGTCTCTGTCTCTCCCTCACCCGCCCTGTCTCCTCCCCACCCATCCCCCACACACTCACACCTGCCCCAGACCTCTCCCTCACACCGTCTCCCTTTGTCTTGGTCCCTCTCCCGTTGCCTGGTAACCGCCCTCCCCACCAGCCCCGCGGAAACCATAGCAACGGGCAGCCTGAAGATGCGGCCATTCATCTTCCTTTTGTCCTTTGCATTTCAGCGGCGCCCCGCGCACGTGGACGCTCCAATTACAGGTACTCAGGCGGCGATGCCTTTGTCCGCGGCCCATTCACGGCAGAGTCGGCTCCCAGGCGGGGAAGCAGTTGGGCGCTGTCTCACAAAGCGCTTTTATACCTCCTCCTGGCGGTCCCCGCTGAGCTCAAGGACACTGGGGTCTCCAAACTCTTGCTCGGATAGATACCCCGTGCGCGCGGCAGGTGGTGGGGTAGGGGAGTGTCCGTACATGGACATTCAGACATACTGACCCAACAGCCCCCAGAAGAGAATCCCGGGGCCAGAAGGGCAAGGGTGGGGTGGTGTAGTGCTTACACACGGGCTTTGGCTCCGCGGCTGCTGGCTCCACCCTTCTGGGCTCTGACCTTGTCTATTCCTCCAGCATCAGCATGTAGGTGGTGGATCATTCTCAAGCCACAGAGCCTTCGCACATGCTGTTCTCTCTGGCCCAGACCTTCCCTCTTCTCTTTGCACTCTTAACTCCTAACCTATCTTAACATCCCAGCTCCAGTGTCCTTTACTGGTGAAGCCTTCCCTGCCCACTCTTCCACCCCTCTTCATTGGCTCCCATACTTCTCTATGTCGTGCTTTCCATGTGTCCAATTATACATATTTCTTGAATGAGGTATTAGTTTCCAGGGCCTGTTGTAACAAATTACCACAAACTGGTTGGCTTAAAATGACAGACATGTATTGTCTCACAGCTCTAGAGGCTAGAAGTTGGAGATCAAGATGTGGGCAGGCCCATGCTCTCTCTGAAGGTTCTAGGTGAGGATCCTTCCTTGCCTCTTCCAGATTCTGGTGGCTGCCAGCCATCCTTGGTATTCTTGGCTTGTAGATGCATCACTCTAATCTCTGCCTCTATCATCATGTGGCATTGTCCCTGTGTTTCTGTCCAAATTTCCTTCTTCTTGTAAGGACACCAGTCATTGGATTAGGGCCCATTCTAATCCAGGATGACCTCATCTTAACTTGACTGCATCTGCCATGATCCTATTTCCAAATAAAGTCACATTCTGAGGTTCCAGGTGGACATGAATTTGGGGGAGAGGGGACACACAGTATAGATGGTTATTCTTCCTCTAGACTTATAAGCCCTGTGAGCTCTGCAAACCTTTGCTCACCCCAGTGCCCAGCACAGTGTCCGGTCAGTTAAGAGGTCAGTCAATATTTAGTGAATGAATGAGCAAGTGAGAGTTGCTTCACCTCCATGAGGCTGAGTACTGCTTATTCATAAAATGAGAACGATAGCATCACTTCAAAAGACCATTGAGGAGGAATCCACACCTGTCATGTAGAGAATGTGCAAAAATTAGTAAGCATGTGTATGAGTTTCCTGTAACTGCTGCAGCAAATTACCACAAATTTTGTGGCTTGAAACCACAGAAATTTATTGTCTCACAGTTCTGGAGGCCAGATATCCAAAATTAACATGTTAAGAGGCCCATGCTCCCTCAGAAGACTCTAGAGGAGAATCCTTCCTTGCTTCTTTTAGCTTTTGATGACCTAAGCATTCAAGCCTAGGTTTGTGGCTATGTCACTCCAATCTCTGCCTCCATCTTCACATGGCTTTCTTCCCTGTTCTGTGCTCTCTTGTAAAAACAGCTGTCATTGGAGTTAGGGTCCACCCAGATAATCTAGGATAATCTCATCTTGAGATCCTTACTTACACCTGCAAAGACCCTTTTTAAAAATAAAATTACATGCACTGGTTCCAAGAATTTGCCCTGGACATATGAGTATTTTGAGTATTCAACCTACTACCATGATTATTATTTCTATAATTAAGGTACAATCTCTGGTTGCTGACAATTTATATTCAATTAATATTTATGAGGACCAAGTAGTCACAGTTCTGAAAACTGATTTATATGTAATTTCACAATGGCCCTGAGAAGGTAGATTCTATTGTTTCCATTTTAGAGTTGAGGCAAATGAGGCAGGAGAGGTGAACTGATTTCCCCCCACATCACAAACCTGGGAACAGGGCAGAGTCCTCAAATGTATCCGCCTCCCTCCCTGGGTCGGTGTGTGCACAAGCCATACCCCTGCCCAAAGCCCTTTCTTTCTCCTTCCTTCACTTGCTAGACCTGCTCATTCTTCATGTTTCTTCCAGCCGGATGTCTCTTCTTCAGGAAGCCTCCTCTGGTCCACAGGGCTGTGTTAGGAATCCTCCTTGGGTTTCCAAGTCATCCTCTGCTTTTCACTCTGCGTCTGTTTGTGTCTACTTCCTCTGGACTGTGAACTCCTTGAGGGTAAGGACTGAGTCTTGTTCAATATTATATCATCACGGCTTAGCATGGAGCCAATCAAAGAGCAAGACCTCTATAAATATTTATGAAAATGAAATTATATGTATAATGGTATTTTCATGGACTTAGTAAACCAAAACACATAAATACTGATTATATTATTATTTCCTGTTTTTTAATTGAGACCTAACTCCCACAAATCCTTCTTTAGAGAAGGCTGGTGGATACTGACTCTTAGGATTCAAGTAGTTACAAAGTTTCAATACTGGAGAATTGGCAAAACCCTAGTGCCATTAATAGAAATCAAGAGAATCAATAGTTTAGACCAATGCTTATCAAACATTAATGTGCAAGAGTCACCCAGGGACTTATTAAAAGTGCACATCCTGATTCTGTTGGTCTGTGATGGGGCCTGTGATTCTGCCTCTACAAGCTTCCAGGTGATGCTGATGCAGCTGGCCCTGGAGCACATTTGAGAAGCAAGGTTGCAGCTGATATGAGCAGGAGGTCTAAGATGATGAGTTAGATTCAGAAATGCTGAATTTGAGTTGCTGAAGTGATTCTCCAGTGAATCACTTCCCATTGAGGCGGTTGTAACACAGGGCTAGGACTCAGAGAAAGAGGTAGGGACTACAGCTTCTCAAGTGGCACATCGTATAGGAGATTGGTCAGTTTGTGTATGGGCAAGGAAGAAACAGAGATATTTGGGGAATATCCACTTTGGGGGAAGGAAGAAGAGATAGAGAAAGAGCAGTTGGAAAATGGGAAAAACTAGGATGGCACAGAGTCACAGGATAGTCAACTGCTGCAGAGGATGAGAATAATGAGCCAAGAACTTGTTAAGGGAATTTATGACCACGAAGGTCACTGGTGACCTTCAAAAATGGTTTCACTAGGGTGCAAGGGTGTGTAGCAGACACTGTCGATCCCTGCCCCATATGCCTTTGGCCCATTTGAACTCACCTGCAGCTGCAGCAGATAATTCCCCCATGCAGAAGCTTCTCACCTTGAACACCTGTGTCAANTTTCCCACAGTAGTTACACCAATTCACAATCTCACCAGAAGAGCATGAGCATTCCAAGTTCTTCACATCTTTGCCGATAATTGGTACTGTCACTCTTTCTACCTTTGGTCATTATGAGAAGCGTGTAGTAGTATGTCACTATGGTTTTAACTGTCACTTTCTTGATGAGTAATGAGACTGAGTTCCTTTCTTACTGTTTATCAGGCATTTCAATTTTTTTTTTTTTTTTTTTTTTTTTTTTTCC